CCCCAAAACCCCAAAACCCCAAAACCCCAAAACCCCTCAATTTTTATAAATTATTGAATCAACCTTATTTTGAGTTCCGATGAATTTAAAACAAATAGAAAAGTACTACAGCAAGTTAAACAAGAAGGAGAAGCGGATGAAGATCTACTATAACCCTAGATACACTACAAAGACAGGTAAGCTTTTACTAATCCTGTTTGACTCATTCTTCATTTAACAATTGGAATTGCCATTGTTGTTAACTTTATGGTAGTCAAGGGACGCAGGCATGCATACATGAAAGAGCTAGTGAAGGAGAGACAGAAGGATCTCGAGTGGTTCGGAAAAGATCCATATATTAACCCTTTCGAAGAGAAAACCAAGTTTCTCAAAGACCTTAAAATATACATGCAGAAGGGGTTCAAACATCAATTTGATGATTATAAAGATGTGCTTGGAGAGCCTAACTCTCCGGTATTTTTTGAGAATTTCCAAACCCGTGCAAAGTCATTAGATCAAGCACATAAAAGGCTCAGAATTGATCTCAGAGGCTTTCCTGGCAAAGTAGGTCTTTTGGGATAGAGCATTTTTGATTAAGCATAGAAGCCTACATTTCATAACAAAGATGTAAAACCTTATTTTCACAGAAGAACCCCAGTTTTACAAAGCCCTCCTGTTAAAAACAAAACTGGAGTTTTATTAAAGCCATATTCAGGTCCAATTCAATCCGCCGAAATTTCTTTGGTCAATAAAAATGTAAAAACCCAAACTTTGAACTCTATAATCCCAACTTCTCCTCAAAATCTTTCTCCTAAGCCCTCTAAAATCCCTCGCTTCTTGGGCAGAAGGATCCAATCACCCAACCTCCGAATCGATACCCAAAAACTCCGGCTCTTCTCACCCAAAAATTCCAGCCAAAGTAAGCCCAAAACCCCCAAAATCCCTACAAAATTCCAATCTTCCCCTAAATTCTCCACTCAAAATCCCCATTTCCCACACAAAATATCTACACCAAATTTTTTTAAATTCGTTCACGTACAAATTTTCTTCCTGTTCCTAATTTTTTGGAAATTTTGAAGAATTTAGAGGAAGAGAGTTGGAATTTGGGTGAAATTTGGCCTGTGGGTACTCTTCGCCCATCCATAATTCCTAATCCCATTCCTTTCATTCCATGCTAACACGGATGTATTATAGATGAATTCCATAAGAAGCTAGGTCTCGACAAGCTTCATAACCGGCACTTCAACATTAGAAATGAAAAAGAGAGCCCTGAAATCACCTGGTCAAAAATAGTTCCGAAACCTTCAAATTCTCAAAGTACGCTTAATTCTTCAATATTATACACGTTTTGGTGGGAATCTCAAATTGTACTTTATCGCAAAGAATCCTTTTTACATAAAATTCTTAATAAATACATTTCATTTGAGTCTTTATTAGGTGAAATACATGCTAAAGGATTTATAGGTATAAAACATGCTGAACAGACAACCATAGATACGTTAAGAGTTCATCCAGTAACGCATAATAACCGGTTAAGATAATTATAATAAGTACAAAGTTTTAGTACTCGTGTTAGTCATCCTCAGGTCGATTCATGATGCTAGTTCTAAGGGGTTTAGGCATACAGATGTAGTTGTTACCTCAAGATCGGCTCCTTTCATGAATCCAAGGCATAAACTCATTCTTTTGGTATCTGAAGGTTTTGATTAGTGGAATTTGGAAATTTTAACTGATTATTTTTAAGTAAAATTAGTAGGATTCTGAAGAGAAATTCTAATAATTTACAAACCTAATAGGTAAGACTTGTCAAATAATATAGAAGGAATAGATTTGGCTAATAAATTACAGGCTCAATAACATGCTACTAATAGGGGTTTTGGGGTTTTGGGGTTTTGGGG